ACGGTTGTCATTATCGTGAACGAACGCCCTCGAAAATAATTTATAGACGACCAGAGGTGGATATAGAATACGCGAGTTAATGCTTAAATCTTGATGATTTATAAAGTCCATTCTTTTTGAACGTGGAGTATAAATTATGCGATCCAACGCATACCAAAAGATAATCGAGAATATTTAAAAAACAATTAACTTTACGATAACAAAACTAAGAATATTGAATAGAATTTTAAATTTTGCTGGAAAGCTTCTGCTCAAGATCGTAAAAAAGTCGTAAAAATCGTCCTTAACTCGATTTATCGATCTCGACCGCCAAGCGACATCTAAGAATTTTTCGTCAAAGTAGGAGTATGTAATTCCATTCTGTCTGTAAAGTTTCATGGAATCGGTCAGTTTATCGAAAAAATCGTTCGAGAAGAAGAAGAAGAGGAAGAGGAAGAACGAGAAGAGGAGAAAAGGTCCGCGAAGATGAACGTCCATTGGATTCGATCGAACCGATAGTTACCTCGCATGCGCGAGAGAGGAAGAGAGCGGAAAATCGGATCGCGCGAACAAAGGGACTTTATTTCAGCTCAGGCGCACCGTACTCTACGTATCGACGAATCCGTGATATATCTTTTCAAGAAACGTTGGTGTACGTTGCATCTCGTATTTCCCTCTCTCTCTCTCTCTCTCTCTCTCTCAGGGAAACTCTGTCGCGTCGTAATAAATAAAGGATATCCCGATGGGGGACATCCTTAACGCGCTATCGTATTGCGCGTGGGATGCGATACGACGAGCATCGAAGGTAACATCGATACGAGGAGGAAACGGTCGGCAGTGGTCCAGTGGTTACGACTCGTTTAACGCTGCTCGTTAAACGATGAAGATCGATGGCGGTGGTGAAAGCTGGCTTGAAGAAATTTCGTTCGCTCTTTGAATAAATGGCACAAGGAAGGGAAAAATCGCGTCTGATCGTCCTGTCGCTCGCAGGATGGAATGGAAGCAAACGGATTGGACTTTGTTGGGTTTGGAGAAATTAGAAGGGATAAAAGTTGAATTGTCACGAGTGATTAATTGATCGAGTCATCTCTCTTTCTCTTTTTCCTGTTAGAAGAAATTCAAAGATATATATCTAATAGAGTGGTGATATCTCTAAAAAAAATCTTTGCGTAATATCTTCTATCCCTAGGCGTAAGAGCTTCTTAAATCGAACCTTTCAAACGAGAAGACACCGGCTCTTCGTTCCCTCGACACGGTTAATACACGGGTGTCCGCGATTCCCAACGGAGGGAAGAGAAAGAAGGAGAGCGTTACATCCCTCCTCTCGAGGGATGAAAGAAAAATTCCGATAACTTACCCCGGTGAGATCGATCTCCTTGCAATTCCTCTCGTCGAAAAAGGTGCTGTAGCTCTGAAGCACGAGCAAGTGGCAATGGAACTCGTCCTGATCGATTCGCACGATACAGTCGGCGTTCCTCGAAAGATCGATCGAATGAAATTTAAGCCCGTAATCCCCGCCTCGTCGATGCATCGACTTGCTTACATCGAACACAACTATAAGCTTACTTGTAATTTGTGATACGCCTTGCCAACTCCTGATACAGGTCAGTCTTCTCCGGGAGAATTATGTTATTCCAATCGATTGGTTGCTCGCCCGTAAATCCGAGTCTGTTCGAAATTACACCCGTACGATCAACCGTTTATCGAGAAACATCGACCTTGCGACGATTGTCGGGAAATCGACAGTTCTCCCCTTAACGTCGAAACGAAAGAAATATATACGTACGACGACAGGTCGACGTAATTTCATATAAACGAAAGTCTCTCCTTAGAGCGAGACGGGATTATAAATAATCCGTCTCCGTTTCTCTTTCTCTCTTTTTCGCGCGAAAATTACGTCGACCGATTTCTTTTTCGACTCGGTCGGAGGAGGATCGATTCTCGACTCTACTAATGAAAACTAATGAAAACTCACGCGGAGAGTGGCACTTCCTGTAGCATCGATGTTTCGCGGGACGACGACGACGTGGACTGCTTCTGCTCCGCGCTTTCCATTTGGCCGATCTTCGCTTTGAACGGATGCATCGTGGATTTATACTCGTTCTCGAGAGCTGGCAACCTTTTGTGAGTCTGTTTCGAAAATATATAATATAAACGATAACTTTAACCAGCGATCCAGAGATTCAACTCGAGCTTGGTTGAAACATTTTCTTTTTTTAACGCCGAGCTATTGTTCTTCCAAATTGCGTTGACTATCTACTTCACACTGCTTCAATCTCCGTTACGAGAATTGCTTTCACTTCGTTAAGTGCTTCGTAGAGAGAGATTGAAACTACCCACGCGATTTTAATAAAGAACGATGGATAAATCGACACACTCGAAAAGGGGGAGAGGAGGAGGCGCCGTGACGCGAAATTTACTTGCAACTGATTGATCATCGACGACGATACATCTAACGGAAGATCGATCGGTTTCGGATGCGTGGAGCAATCGGACACGCATCCGCCAAGCTCGTTCCCCGATTTACTTAGCTCGGCCTTCACGTTGATCTTCGTGTGCTTGGGATCGGCGACCAGCACGCTCACCTTCTTCGATTCGAACACCACCTAAAACGACTATGCGTCTGCCTTGAGGCCAACAACATTCCTAAGGGTTAGACGGATACATCCCGATCCGGCGATCGATCGGGACATTTACCTGATTCGGAAGGATCTTGAGGTTACCGCTTGGGGTTGATTGGAACGGGAAAACTCGCTTCGAATTCTCGCCGTCGTTTATACTGATGAATGCGCGATCGTCACCCCGTTCCCTCGGTCGTGACTGTATCTGCTGCATTAGATAGGCCAAGTTCGGACACACCGCTTCTCTCTTGCACTGGCTGCAATCACCGTCTCGTCCTGGACTGCACAACCATTTTCCAAAACGTTCTTCGTTATTTCTCGTTTTTTTTTTTTTTTCTATCGTCGATGAATGAACACGGTTCGATTATATATCGTTACATTAACGTCGAATATAATTTATAGTGTGATCTATAAAGGTAATAGCGAAGGTAGTAAATGCTACAATTACGGATTGTGTACGCGTGTTGTGCTCGAGGTGGATAATAATAATTGGCCGAGGCTAATGGAAAGGGCTATCAAATATTACGTCTGATGATTATAAACGCTGCAATTTACGGACATTTGGCATTATTATCGAGGATTATCGCGGTGTAAATTCGATGCGTTCGTTCGATAAATTATATTCCGTACATCACAAATTTCCATATCGTATCACTTTATCAAGCTCGTTGTTCCATTTAACAAATCGTCGTCCGAAAGGGTAAACCGTTCTTAATAAAAAACTTGTAAAAAACGTGATAACGTCCTGGTTACCTGGAATGAGCCATTAGTTTGGAAACGGGATTATCAGAGGGACGACATCGTTCCCCGAAGAAGCTTCTGTCGCGTTTCCACTGTTCTCCCGTTCTTATATCTCGTTCGGGATCATCCGAATCGTCGTCCTGTCGAGTGGATGTATCGTCCTCCGATCTAATCAAATTTTTCGCAGTGTTGATCGTGTATCTGGCCAAATCGGATCTCTGATCCTGGAGATGCACCCCCTTCGACGCGAAACGATGATTCTCCGACAAAGAGCCGACCTGCACCACGCGGCTGTCCTGATAAATGTGCACGTTCACCGGTCTTTGCCGCTTCGATAAACGTCGACGTCGTCTCAAAGTAACTTTCCTCCGCTCCGCTGGATATATAGGAGATCGATCCTCCGACGTTTCGTCCTGATTCAATCTGTCCATAGGAAAGAGAGAGGGAGAGGGAGAAAATTTTCACCGGATTCTTTTCGAGAAATATAACATTCGTGTGCGATGTAATTTAATCAGCTCCAAGTAAATTATCGACAAAATTTACTCTTCTAAAAACTTTATCGCATAATCTTTAATTCTAATTACGATTCTACGACGATTCTCTTCAAATTGATATTTCCCTCCAAAAAAATTCTACGTATTATTCACCGCACTTCTGTTACGAAATATCGAGCAGAACGACTTCGCGGCTTCGATCGTTGGACTTTTAAAATTCTTGTGCTTCCGATTAAACTTTGGATTCATTTCCAAAGTTTATTCCACGACGAGTAATAGAAATTCCCATAATAACGTTATTACTCGAATGGAGGGTGAGTAATCCGCAGTCGTTAGGCGTGATAATTACCTTTCCTGGCGCGGGGACCGGGCAGTGTGGATCACCGATGGACTCGGCTCGCGCGGAACCGCCACTTC